TATGAGGACAGGCTGAGAGAGCTGAGGCTATTCAGCTTGGAGAAGAGAGGGATCTGAGGAGACCTTATGGTGGCCTCCAAGAAAGATGGGGAAGGACTGTTTACAAGGGCGTGTAGCAATAGGAGAAGGGGCAATGGTTTTAAACTGGAGCAGGGGAGACTTAGGTTAGACATTAGGAAGAAGTTCTTTACTGTGAGGGTGGTAAAACACTGGAACAGGCAGCCCAGAGAAGTGGAGGAGGCCCCATCCCTGGAAATGTTCAAGGACAGGCTTGATGGGGCTCTGAGCAACCTGATCTAGTTGGGGATATCCCTACCTACTACATGGGGGTTGGACTAGATGACCTTTAAAGGTCCCTTCCAACCCAAAGCATTCTAAGATTCTTATGTTCATTACCACAGTCTGTCTCGGGTTCCCTTCTCTAGTGGAACTCCTGTAAGAAATGAACATGGCATGAACTGGTGTCCTAAAATTTCAGAAATGCATGTGGTTTATACTACTAGGACACTCGCTAAATAACAGACATTTAAATACTAACTCCTCCACCTAAAGAGTATTTTCAAAATACTGATGAGAAGGTATCAGACAGGATGCATTAATTTTTCTCTGTAAAAGCTACCAACTTCATAGCAGTTCACTTACAACAAGTGCCCCAGGGAGCACGGCCTCCTACACACCATGTAGTATCTAAGCCTAACAGAGTAAATTAAGCAAAGGAAACAACCCCTTTTAAATGTTTTTATTACAGAAAAACAAAAGGCTTACACTTGACTTAAAAAAGCAGCATTATTTTGTGAATTCCAAGTTCTTACAGTGAAGTTGCTTTAAGAAACCTTTAGAGACTGAAGAAAAGGAAAATAAAATGCCAGACCCCTCCTCTGGCAGCACTCTGAGTGACTGGCCACAGTAACTCTAAACTGCACGACCACAGCACACTGTTGGACTTCTCATCACCTCTGACAGCCAGGGTGTGACCAGTCTGCTCCTCTTCTCCCTGTGCCTTGTTCAATAAAGCTGGGAGAAGGATTTGGTGAAAATGGCAGCACACATCAAGTTTCATTTTGAACAGCTCAGTACCCTTCTGACTGATATCACAGTTCAGAAGTGACTGGGACTCATGCCTTCCTCCTGACTCCACACTTCAGTGTTACAGTTTGAACAGACCCCAGTGTGACCTGCTCCTGACACAGTATTCACCATATCCAGCTCCATATCTCAGAAGATTTCTCAACAAAATATTTGGCTACTAATGATTACAAACAGAAACAAAAATAAACACAAAAATGAAGGCTCATAGTTGAAAGAGTTCTTAGCAGTGCAGAATTCAGAATGTATTTTTTACTACACACCATAGGATGAATAGGAGCAGTCCAGGGAGCACTTTAGTTTTTTCTTTAAGTCCAAAGCTGCAGGTTTCCAGCCTGAGCCAAAATTAAATATGTAACTGATCTGTATTTGAAATCTTAAGAGACATATAAGAGACAAATCAGGAAAACATATGACTGCCTTAATAGTCCTACATTTTGACTATCAGCACTGAGTCCTGCTAAAGTCCAGAGAAGTTTACAGGCTTGTCACCAAGGGTTTGTTTTTTTTTTTTTTAAAAACAACTCAAGAGCTCTACATAATATTAAAAAAACTTTCTAAATGCATTTTTAAGCATCTCACTCTTCAAGTATATGCTAAAACTACATGTCAAAGATTCTGCCAAAAAAAAAAAAATTAAAATAAAACCGAAAAGCAAAGAAATTCAAATCACTGTGTACAACCAGCTATAATGGAAAAAAAACCACCAAAATGAAACAAAACCAGAAAAAGGCAATTCGGAGAAGGAAAAAGGAGAAAACAAAAAGGAGAAAAAAAAAAAAAACATAAAGAACCATCTGCTACTCAGTATTCTATGAATTTTTTTTTTTCCTTTCTTCCCAAAAGAAAAAAGGTTGGACTCAAAAATCAGATGGAATTTTTCTGGAAAAAAAAAATCCTCATCTCCTTAGATATCATTTATACTCTTTGATAACAAAAATCTTTAAAGTCAGGCATCTACTTACTGTACTCTGAACTGTAACATGAAGCCAGCTGTTACCAAGCTACTTAAACAGAAGAAACAAGTTTCTTTCCTACAAGGAAAAAAGATGCAATACATGTTCCCTGGTTATGACTCATAGCATCATCAGGTTCAAAGACAGAACTTGTCTATTTAACCTTACCCATGTCTTTTACTTAAAATCACTTAATTTAGTGCTATCGCACAGTAATTTCTTAGGTGCTCAAGCTGCCTTATAAGGACATAATAATCTGTATTATACAGTAATATTGCCTTAAAAAAACACCCAAAAAAAAAAAAACACTCACTATATATATATATCCAAAAAAAAACCAACCCACCCCAACAAAACTACTAAGAGGAAGAGCAATTTAAGTTTTGTGCCTGTGGTTCTGGTGACACCGCTGCCTAAGGCTGCTTTATATATAACTTATCCTTGGAGATGTTCACCCTGGGCACAAATTAGTCCTTTTCATAGTCACAGAGTTGCATTAAAAGTGACTCTTATGATTAAAAAAGTAACAAAAATGCATTATACTGACCCATTTCTCTGAATGTTAATATTATGCTCTATTAACTCCCTCCTTGACAGCAGGTAGCAGTCACAAACAAAAGTATCAACATCAGCTACCTCGAAGATCTATAACAATCCCAATTAAACACTATAAAACAAATTTACACCATTCAAAAACCTTGTCATTAGAGAGTTATGCAAAACAGAATCATAGAAGGGTGTTCATATTTACATCTTCCTTTGTCAAGTTGCACTGCTCAGAGAACTCGAAGACCATTTGCAATACAAAAGAATTTAACAGGCAATCCTGTTCTTAAAGGTTTATGATGTAGTTTTCCCAATATTTTTAACTGCTGAAGCACTAATAAAGACTTAATTTAGCATGTAACTCTCACATTCTTTTTTCAAGTAAACATTCTCGACTGCCAATAATTCCATTATTACATGGTAAACCAGCCCTCTAGTTCCTAAACAATTTATATTCAACTTAAGAAAATAGCAAAGTTTAGGATATTTTTCCAAAATAATCTGTAACAGGTAAAAAACAGCTTCTTGGGAAATTTAGCTGTCTTAGCTATCAGGTTCTGAAGGACTATACAGATCCCTTAATCCTTCTTAGTTTTCAGCCTTAATTTTATGCAAATGACTGTTTAGCTGGGCTATATTAGTCCATCACATACACTGAAGTCAAGCAACATTATTTCATGTTCTGGAAATGAACAATTCAAAAAAAAATAAGTGTATAACTGTACCTGCAAATTTCTTCACTTTAAATTGCTCTTTGTTAATCTATTGAAGACAATTAAGAGAACATCCATGGGGCTTTTTTCTGTCTATTTCTGAGAAAATTTGAATACATGCAAGTCAATGCTACCATAATGCAGACAAAGAGGTCCTCTTCCCATGAAGATCATCAATGAGTGACTACCTTCAATAAATAAATTTGGAAATTCTAGAGAATTCCTCTGCGGAACAGCTCAGTCTTTCTTCTTCTCCACGATGTCTTTCTGTGGAAGCTCTCCATCTGAAAGTTCTGAGTACTTCCCATTCCTTCCCTCCTCGTGCTCCTCCTCGCTGCCCTCGTCGGTCAGCTCCCGCTCCCCGCTCTCCTTCCTGGCTGCCTCCTGCTCCTCGGCCCCCGCCTCGGCCGTGCAGATCCCATAGCACATGATGCTGATCACCCCCAGGGGCAGCCCGAACAGGAAGCAGCCCAGGAGGGGGGAGCTCTTGAACACAGACTGTTGGAACACAGATTTGAAGCAAAAATCACTTTCAGCCAATACAGCTAAACACCACAGTATTCCTCTTATCACTCTGTATTTATCCAGAAACATCCTAAATGAGAGAGTCAGGTTTTGTTTGTATTTTTCTTTTGAATTTTTTTTTCATGGAGGAGGAAACCTCATTTTACCAATTCCTACCATAGGGTCTTAAAAAAAACCCTTAGAACAAATTTTACAATCTTGCACTGGGATAGTTAATGTTAACATGCCAACTGTATATTCTGTTCACTGACACTTCAGAAACAATTGCTCCAATAACATTAAAACAATACTTTGAAGCAACCAGTTTCATTCTCTTATGTGTGTCTCATTCTCAAAAACTGGTCTGAGTAATCAGGGATCTGCAGAAACATTTTCTTATTACACAGGTTCCTACTGAAGAGTAGTTTAATGGCACAAGAGGAAGGACATTTGTTTTCAGAAACTGATGGCTCAGTGTTACATGTTCACAAAAGTTTCTACACCACTCATACAGAAACTTTTGAGTTTCAGTTTAAATTCACAGCAGGTTTTTTTGCTTGTGTAGGACAACTGAAGAAACAGATTTGTGTAAATCTTCCCAACAATATTCTGTTAACCATCAGTAGCTTGTAACAAAGCTGATGAAAGCACTGGCTTTAGAACTACAGTACATGGAGTATTTAATCCCCTTATGCCCTAACTAGAAAGAGTAGCACTTTCATGTCCTGAGAAATGTTATCAGTTTCAAGGAAAGGATGTCAAAAGGGTCAAGGAAAAGATTCTGAATTGCATTTTAAAGGATAGGACAGGGACAAGTCAGACTAATACAGAAAAGGAGTGAAAAAATGAAGACACTAACGTGTGCTGAATATTTAGCACACTGGAAAATATAAAAAAACTTTAATGAAGAATTTCATTTGGCATAAACCTAAAGTATATATTCCTCTCTCTCTCTCTCTCACTATATATATATATGGTAAAGAAACATATAAAAATATTTCTAAACCCCAAACAAGGGCACCATCTAAGAAACACAAACCTTACCATTACAGTAGACTTGGCATCATAGATGATTCTCTTGATCCGCTGCAGAATTCCATCACCACCCTGTGCCTGAAATTTCAAATACAACTATGTCAAAACTGCTGACACTTCTCAGTTATGACTCCAAAAGTTCATTCTTCAGACCTTAAACAATCTTAAGTCCCATCAGAAGGAAATGAAAAGTAATTATTCTTGAATCTCATGACGCCCAGACACTCCAACTTCTCAAGTATGGATAAACATTTTAACAGTCTCATGCAAAATTCTCTCTCAATTGTTTTAAACTACCAGTACAACCTTTACCAGGGGGCTGGCACTCTGCTCTCTTATCACAGAGGAAGAGTAATGGAAACTACCAACTCTCCTGATGTAACACTGATAAAACTGCAGAGACCTTCTGAACTTTCCTGCAGCTGATGGATACCTATTTCTGGATTATGACAGAGTTTAAAACCATCCAAGAACTAAGTAACAAGATATGAAGGTGTCATTAAGAAAACTCATGTCAAGCAATGACAGACTACCTACACTGCCACCTAATTTAGCCGTCTTTCAAATCACTATGTGAATCCAAATGCAATTTGCCTGTTGAACAGGACCCAGTTTTCACCTGTCTTGAGCTACCACAAAAACAAACCTACATTTTGGAATTCAACTGATCGCCACTTGACCCTCACCAAAACTCCTCAAATTACAAAAAAGTTCACCAGGATGAAACAGACTCACAAAATGCTACCTGTGGGGCCTTGCAGAAAACAACAAGAAAGACAAAGTGAGTCACCCAACACTTCCCAAGGAAGGGAGTGGGGGAATATTCTGCTTCTCAGAAGTTTCACTCTGGTTCAGAGAAGCCTGCATCCCATTAGTTGTTGACCAGCAGACTTTGAAAGCTGTGATGCCTCAACAGCTGCACAACCGCTTGGGCCTGAGCATCACCAAAGCAGTGCCATTTGATGTCTGCAGGCATCATTCAGCTTAAATGAAGTCACACCCTGTATTGTCTGTCTTGTATTGGCAACCTCACATACATATAGAGAGGTGAATTTGGAGAGACCTTGCATCATTCCAGCTGAAATACTGCCACAAAAGGTACAAAGACCACAAGGCATCACAAATGAATATCCTCAGAGTCAAAATCCAGAAACCAATTTCATTCATTGTTTCAAACAGAAGGATATATTTAAATAGAGTCAAACAGATGCTGATAACTCAATGCAACCAACAAAGCACTAAAAATGTGAGAATTGAAGAACAAAGAACCACCAAATAAGTCATAGGAATACCTCTCACCTCATAACTGGGAGCATGGCCAATACAGGCAGGAACAGCAGGCAAATCCACCTATATTATGTTGCTACATCAATTTGTCAGATTAAATAAACCAAAACACCCCACAGGACTGAATCTATCTACATCATTCTTTGTCACTGCCACCCGATGACGTAAAACTGTTGGCAGAATGCAGCGTGGGATTCAGCTAACATAATAAGCATTCAATACACAGTGAATTGGGGCTTAAACCAAGAGAAACTTCTCCCAGGAGGCAGCCAAATGATTTGTTAGCACTGCTCCCCTTTGAGGCAAAGCCTTCTTGGCCCCAGAAGTGCAAATGGAAGCTCTGATCCATGATCTCCTTCTGCTTCCACACAACACAGCTTCTGTCCAGGGAATAAGCAAACCTGAGTTTGTTTTGCCAACATTAACAAATTGTCCAAGCCATCAATTCCAGATGCATTTATCCATTTTGTTGTTTTAACAAAAGACAGCTCATTTTTAGCTTTGGAGCAGAGACAGTAAGCCTGTGTCTGTAATATGGGAAGTATACCACTGTTTTTTTAATGTGAATCTATCATCCATCAAGCTATTAATTTACTGCACAAAAGAGGTTCTGCAGTCAGAACTGTGAGTGACAGGCCACCTCAAGAAAGCACAATCATGTGTCCACTGACAGCACCCAACAAAGGAAGACAGGCAGGACAGGAAGATATAACACATGCCATAACCAGGAACATATTTTTTTTTCCTACTTTAGCATCTAAGGAAATAAACACCTACCAACATACTCCAAGTCACAATGAACACTTACTTCAGCTGTACCATCCAAGATGTTGTTAATGAACTGAACCATGTCTTCTGTGCTCTCGATGTGCCTGTCTGGCAGAAAGTACTGCTGGTTGGAGGTGTTCAGTACAACAATAGTGGGGATTGTCAGGTCACTGCAAAGAGAAAACAGACAGCTTACACATTTGAAGAACTACTGAGCAAACATTGCAAATCCAGTAATTCCTACAGCACGTAAAAGGGGATCCATCAATCCTCACTTCATGTGTGCTCCCTACAGCAGCTCCTTAAGGCAAGAGGGAAGGAGGAAAACACTCACTTGAATGGTCCTTCACACCTCTGCCAGTGAGCACTGCAGGTTCCTGCACTTCACACACCCCCAGTCACTGCCAGTCAGGTACCTTATGACCTGCCAGTCAGCAGGAGGCCACAGGTGGAAGCACTGCATGTGAAATGCACTATCAAGACAACACATGTTTCAGTGCATGAGGGCTAATGTGTAATCCACAAATTCCATCCCATACAGTCATGGTTCAGCTCATCAACTCAATCAATCAACCTCCACCCGTCAAGTCAAAAGAATAACCCACACCAACCAGTTTTTCTACATCTCTTCTAAATATGGCAGATAAGCTATAGAAGTTTTTAAACAATCACTAGCAGCAGATGACCTTCACATGCATAAGCATTTTTTAGTATCACAGGGTGAGAAAGAAAGAAAGAAGGGGGGGATGGGGTGGGTTAGAAATTATCTCTGGAGATAAAGCAGTATAGTCTACTGCTCAAAGTAGCCCTAAATTCAAAATTACATCAGATTTGGGAAAATTTAATGCTGCACAACGATATTTTCAACAAGAAACATTCAAAATATATTAAATAAGGTGAAAAACGTCCTGTACCGTTTTCCAGTTTCCCACAGTTCTATCCATAATTAATTTAAAAACTAGGTGGTTTTCTTTCACAGGAGAAGCCACACAAACCTTGATTTTCTACATTTTCATTCTCATCTAATAATGCCCCATCCATGTACATTCTTAATCCAAGTCATATAGATGATTATTTCAGCCTTAGCTGTGCCTATCAAGCCATAATTATTTCATGGCAATATTTTTTTTGTATTTACTCAGGATTGCCATTCTTCTTTGAAGTCACAGAAATTATTCTAAATTTTCTCACACATTTTAGGAATTTTGTTTGTTTGGTTTTTATTTCAATTCCAAGCTTAGAAGAGTAGAAGTTTAATACTTATACACAAGCATTTTCTAAACTTATAGAAAACTGACTACTTAAGGTGCAGAACAGGTTCCCAGTGCTCAAGTTGAAAGCATGGTGGCACCTCAGAAAGTGTAAGGCCAACTACAGAGATAACAAAGGAATTTTAATGTCACCAGTGACAAACTGCAACATAAAAACCTCCAAATACATTTTTCCCCTTAACATTTCTATTCTTTACTTATTAGGAACAAACAAGAACTCTAAGTAGGAGGCAATCAGCCAACTCAGGTGTTTTCACAAGTCCCTGGTAACAAGTTATCAGCATCTACCAAAATACTTCATCCCAGCTAAAACTGAACAAATGTTATTACTTGGAAGCAGAAAAGATCTGCCCCCTGTGAAAAAAAGAAGTGCTTCTATTGCATTTACCAGTCTGGTAATGGAGGTTTGTAAAGCAGCTGAAAGACAAACTCCATATACAAATTGTACATGCTATACAGAGATTCATAAAAACACATTTAATACGTTTCTTCCCAGAGCTGAGGAATCAATACTCTACAAACACCCACATTTGACATCCAAATGATGCTATACACCTTAGCTTATGCAAAGATGTAGTTTTGCTTTCAGTAAAAATACACAACATTCAGTTTTCCTCTTTTGTGCAGTTTTAACCATACCATTTTTAATCCAATAAAGTGTGTTTGCCCACTGCCAAAGAGACAGATAATGTCTAGTAATGGAGCTACAGCCAAGTTCCTAAGTGTGGTTCTACCAGGAACAACTACTTCTATAACCACGAATCATACAGCATTCTGTCCTCTGTGAAGGAATGTAATCTGTTCCTGTGTGCATCCAGGACAGCAGAAGAGCATTCTGCAATGGATTTCTCACAATCCAGGCAGCCTTTTCTACTTCCACTTGCTGCCCTCTAATGGAAAAATTGAAGCAATATGGTTTTACTCGAATTATTCAAGTAGCCACATGAAGAGTAGCTACTTATAACACTGAACATGTTTTGCTGCATTCTTTTGCTGCTTTCCACTTATGCTGGAAATGTATAACCTCCATTTAGAAAATAACTGAAAGCCTGTGAGTACTCCAACAGCAATCTCCCATATACTACAAATTATAAAATCAAGCATTTTAAGGCTAAATTAAACAATCCAGGTGAACAGATCTTCTCACTAGATCACTAAGCAGCACTTCTCTCTTCCTCCCAGAGACTTCATGCCCCTCCCCTGCTTCTTTGCATGTTAGTTCTGGTACTCAGCAGAATACACAGGAAGAGATTTAACAGTTTTGTTGCATCAGCAAAATAATTCCCCTACTTGCCTAGCCAAAAAAGCAAACACTTTTCTGCCAGATAAACAGGCTGGAACAGCTCAGCAGACAGTCACACAGAAGAGCCCGTACAGGAGAAGCAATTAATGAAGTGAAGAAGGTCTCACATTTGGCAACTACAAAGCATTGGATCAATCACATCACTTAACTTCAACTGAGAGGCAGCTGGTTTCAGAGTTACTGTATTCAGGTGTTAATCTACAGACATTCCACAGAAATAGAGACCTTATGCCTCCCAAGTCTCCATGGAGCAACCAGAACCTCTAGGGGCACGAACCCATGCTTTGTTCATCCTTTGATCCCCAAGAAAGGAGTTTTGAAAACTTAGAGCTGGTCTATCAACCCACATTTTTGCCTTGTTTCATTCAAAAGGCCAGAGAAGAACAAGTAGTCAACTGTAAATGCCAAGCAACTTAAAGCTCTAATTATGCCTCCTTAGAAAAGGATCACAATAAGGGCCAATGTCAAGCACGTTGTTAAAATACACAGATGCTTCAAAAGGTACCATGTACATCTCAAGTGCAGACAGCATTTTCCAGGCATTTTATGCTGCTCTGCAGAAGCATATTGCTGTGCATGCCTTGAAGATGCAACAAGAAGGAAAAGTGGCTCTCCAGAAATAAAAACCATGGAATGGACACCACACAACCATTATTTATGTTTCCTTTTACAAATAGGCATAACTTTAAATATGTCTAGTGCCCTGTAAATTTAATGAAGGAAAAAAACCCCACACTTCTAATAGAGCAATTAATTTAAACAGAGGACACCTAAAAGATAAGCTTTGTCAATCAGCATGATCAGTAAGCCAGACTTCTAACACTACATTAGGTAGTTTGACTTAACAAACACCTGATACTAAGTTGAACACTGAATTCTAAGGACAGCAACTTTTTTTTGTTTTCACCCAAGAAAGGCAGGAATTCTTCAGGAGATTGTTTTCAACTCAATGTACTAACAAATGCAAGAGAAGAAAATTGTAATTTTCAGAAAGATTTGGGAGTGCTGCTTGATGAAAAGCTCAACATGAGTCCAGAAAGTCAACTGTATCCTGGTCTGCATCCAAAGCAGGTCGAGGGAGGGGATTCTGCCCCTCTACTCCACTCTCATGAGACCTCACCTGGAGTGTTGTGTCCACCTCCGGAGACCCCAGTGCAGGAAGGACATGGACCTGTTGGAGTGGGTCCAGAGGAGGCCACGAAAATGACCCGAGGGCTGGAACACCTCTCCCACAGGGCCAGGCTGAGAGAGTTGGGGCTGTTCAGCCTTCAGAAAACAAGGCTCTGGGGACACTGTACTATGGCCTTCCAGTCAGTATCCAAATGGGGCTGACAAGAAAGCTGAGGGGGACTTTTCACAAGGGCTTGTAGTGACAGGGTGAGGGGCAATGGATTCAAACTGAATGAATGCAGATTTAGATTAAAAATTAGGAAGAATTTCTTCACTACGAGGGTAATGAGACACTGGAACAAATGGCTCAGGAACCTGTGGCTGTGCTTAAGATCAGGCTGGATGAGGCCTTGTGCAACCTGGTTTAGCAGGAGGTGTCCCTGCCCATGGCAGGGGGCTTGGAACTAGATGATCTTTAAGCTCCTTTCCAACCCAAACCATCCTATGATTGTATGAATAAGAATTTACTTACTCCATTAGTAAACTATTAATGTAATCGTTTCCATCCATATGGCCAAACTGGAAATCCCTGTAAAGGAAGCAGTGAAAAATAGAATAATGATAAAGAAAACAGAACAGTGGGTTTCAGCAAAAGTTCTTCCTTAAATATTTTTGTTTTCTAAGGTCTGAAGATGGGAGTGCACACTCAGGAACTTAAGTCAAAAATTGACTACCTACAAGACAGCATTCCAAAACATGCTCTGTTAATGGAGTAGTCTTATTAAGTATCACTATATGAATATAAAAACAGGCATTATTTTTCATATATAAAATAAAAGAAGACTGCTCCTTAAAAGGGTTAATACAGAAGTTCATTTGAGATCTCATGATACCATGTGTGCCTACCTGTGGAAGTGATCCCGATAATCTCTAGCAACTTCCTGGATAATAGTTTTTAGTCTGGAGGGGGAAAAGAAAAAAGTGACATAACCCAGGATATACTCTGCCAAAATACAAACAATAAGCACTGAGATTTCCCCAGTAAGCCACAAGTAGTACCTCATCCACAATAAGGATTCCCTGTTTCATGAACAAAAACCACCTCGTTTCTCTTGCTTGTTTTCTAAGGTCTGAGAAGCTATTTACCACACAGCCTCAGCATAATTAAAACACAGACAGGCACTCAGGCTGCCTCACCCCATCTACTGCCTTCTGAAGATGCAGCACTGTGACTCTGAAGAAAATCCAGAGGTCTGAGGAATCACTGTACACAGTACTCCAACAGTATTTTCTTAGTCTCATGATGTACACAATCAGAAAGGGCCAGAGGAAGGTTTTGCTCCTTTCAATCTATTCCCCAAACTCTGACCTCAACTGAAAACTCCCCTTCTTAATGCAAGTTCCACAGAGAACCAATACATAAGCATCACTAAATTAATTTTTAATGCAACCAAGCTGAAGAGCAGCCATTTGTTTAAACCTACTAAGTTCATTGCAAAATCACCTGAACTCAAGTGTGCCCTCATCTGTTTTTAAAATGTGACAAAATAGCTTTAAAAAGCTGGGTGATCATTGTTTGCTCCTGTGATCTCATTAACAAATGGCAGAAGAGTGAGTGATACATGGTCTCTCACCACCTCACTGAACTCACATGTGCTTCCTCAGGGCCATAAATTAAGTAAATTCAATAGGTCACAAATCAGAGAACACCCACAAGTTAAAATCATTCCTTTAACCTACAATTTCTTACTATTTAGGAAGCTTCCACGGTTTTCTATGTCATGCCAGCACATTTCTCCCATAGTGTCACTAATACTCAATTCTGTACCTGGTGTGTTCCACTGAAGAGTTTTTATCATCAATGACTGCAATAGCCACAAGTTTTCCTAAAATAAGGAATAAAATGCTTGAAACCATTTAAAAAGAGACATGCATTCACAGATGGAAAACACTCCAACCTAGAAGATCAGATACTCTCCAGGGGCAGGAATTAGCTTTAAGTCTAAGTCAATCCCAATGCCAAACAGCCCTTTCCAGCTCTCTAAAAGGTGGTTTTCTTAAAGGTACTGAAGATAAATGAAGATGTGGCTTAATGCCACACCACTGGCATTCTATGAACAGCCTACCTACAGAAAGAAGTTAAAAGGAGCAAAACAGAGATATAAAAATTAATTCCCTGCTCCAGATACATAGAATGGTTTGGGCTGGAAGGGACCTTAAAGATTATCTAGTTCCAACCCCTCTGCCATGGGCAGAGACACCTTCCACTAGATCAGGTTGCTCAGAGCCCCATCCAACCTGGTTCAGTAACAACTGTTTTTCATACTACCGAAAATTTAGAGTATTTTTATCAAGGAAAAACAAAAAAGGAAATTTACTGGCAGAGCCCAGAATACATTACATCAGAAAAACAAGTCAGTTCACAGACCCCTGTCAGAGGAGCTTAAAATACAAACACTAACATATACTGATCTTTTCAGGACTCACTTTGTGAAGTTTTTCTGATTAAAAGATAAAGGACCCAAAGCCTCCTAAGGTGAACCAAATCAAAGTGTGTTTAGAATGGTGGGCAAAGGTTTTCCAGATCAGGCCCTTCCTATTAGGAAGGCAGATCTGTTAACAGTGTAGTAGTCATCAGCTGCATTAACTAAAGCCTCTAGAGCACAGAACATTTTGTTAAGTCTCTCTAGATGCCATGATTCATTCAAAACCCTCCCAACCAAGGCAATCTATTGCTCACTGCCTACCGATCATCAAGGTACAGGAAGCATTTCTCAAAAAAAAGAAAATCACTCTTGTTCAACTAATACTGAAGAGTTCTGAAGGCATAAACAATGATTCATTCTTGGGCTTTCTCACACAAAAGCAACAGCTTCCCTGTGCCTCATTTCTTCCATATCTCCCTTCTCACTTTTCCTCTTTTCTTTCCACACCCTAAGACATTACCTAGTGAATACACTAGGACACAACTACTTTTGCAACTGGAAAAGATGTAGATCAATTCCAGATACTGTGTATAACACCACTTCTGTAAGTAAACTTTTAAAATATAAGTGTAACAATATTAGTTCCACAAACATGTAAGAACAGATATGTTTGATAATCTTTAAACCCCAAAAGAATGCCATGTTGCATTGGATAGAAACTTCTTCCCTTGGAAATGGAATGTAGATTATAAGGTATTCTGGCCTGGAAAGATCAACACTGACAGCATTTCTTCTGGTACTTCACAGTTTGTATGCCTTAAGAGCAGTACAAGCCACTTGCCTATTCCAGAAGTCACTTGGCTGCAAAGTTTTCATTTGGCTTCCAAAAAACAGTGCCAGAGAAAAACTAAAATATTCCACAACAGGCCCACTTTGATACACGCTCCCCTCCACTCCTTACCAGATCTATTTTAAAGATATCTGAATCCAGATGCAAGAACTGTCTAAAGCCATCCATACTTGCTAGTTCTAAATCCAGTCATAAAATTCCCTGTAGGTATTCCAAGACTTAATATGTAATTTATGCAAAACCTAAGCTGCTCTCAGACTAAAAACCTTACTCATTCTTCATTCTTTCTGCCTGCTGCAGGGCCAGACATACTAGTTTTTTATGTTGTGAAGAAAGGACTAGTGTAGGCTTTGGATGAACACTCTAGTCAATACAACAGTTCTCATCAATATAAAAAAAAAAAAAAAAAAGATTGGCACTACCGACTTTAATCTGAGATGAACTAACTTTTCAGGTTTAAAAACTACATTCTTAGCACTCTTTACTTTTTCTTAGTGTTAAGTAGCAGAGAGGTCAAAGATGTTAATGGTGCCAGAATCTCACCTGTGTCTCCAAGTTCATACAGAGTAAAGCCATCTACATTAAGATAACCTTGAAACCTTTCTCTGTTTATCCAGGATGATAAATCACCATCTTCATACTCTAAAAACAAGACCAAAAAAGAGGAAAAAAAACTTTATTTTTTCCCTGTAAAGTGGGTTTTAAAGGATGGGGTCAAGTTTCAAACAAAGTAAAGAGATACAAAACCAGAGAAAGAAGTATTTGTGAGAGCCCTTAAATGAAATTGAAAGAAAATAAGAAAAAGTAGATGCATTAACAGTATCATGAATGTAAATAAACAAATATTTACATATGATTCAGAATCAGCCATACTAAAGGCTAGATGTTTTAAGCTGTAAAGAATCAAATTCCAACACTTACCACCAACACCATTATCATCAGATCTTAATCACAAATAAAAAAGACACACATACCTATAAATGCACATTAAATAAACTGTGTTAAATCACATTGGATAGAGTAATTTAGCAATAACATCAGGTTACTAATTAATTGTCCTAAGATTGCAGCAAGCAATTCCAAGCATAAATCTTCCCATAGATCTGGATCTCATTCCCCTACTATGGAGAAGGAAAAAAAAACCAAAACACCAGATGAAGCCAGAGCACTGAAATGCATTTTGGTAAACCTTTTCCTTACACTGAGCTCTTCAGATTTTTGCCTGATCATAATGGTTGCACAAATTCTTAACCTGCTACTTCATAACTTGTTTTATTTACAGTGATGTTCCTAGCAATGATGTTTACTAAAAGAGTAAAATTTTTACAAGGTAAATTAGAAGCCTGGATTAATAGGGTTTTTGAGTTGTTTTGAAAGCTGTGGAGAAAGCAAGTGAGTCACACAGCAAAAAGCCATTCAGAAATGTTCCTTTTTGACAGGCTTCCCTCCTCCGGGCACATTCTAAAAAAAAAAAAAAAATTAATGCAAATCAAAGAGGCCATACAGTGAACTTTTATTTGGAGGACAATTGGTAAGGGAACAGACTGAAGAGGAAGACAAGTACAGCCATTCTATGAGATCACAAAGAACATCCTTGATAGCCTGTCTGGAGTACTTTGCTGTGGTACTACTGATCCTCAGAAATTAAAACAGCATAATAAGCACCTGAGGGATATGTTCCAAATTTAATGTAAAAACCTGCATTAAAACAACCTAAGTCAAGAGTAGATTTTTTTTAAATCAGCAGTGTACCTGTAAGCCAACCCATGATATTCAATATAAGTATGTTTGTGCATCTGAGGCACTATAAATCATGGGCTTTGCAGTATAATGGTCAATTCCTCTTCAGGAAGAGTTTTCTTCTGTTTTCTATGTGATGAATTTAGACAGTGAGTGAAGGGATAACTTTTATAAGTGTATTAATGACAGAAACCCAAAAATACTAGAAGCTACATCTTACTGATAACACAAAGCAAACATCATCATTTCTATTTCAGTACTGCCTAAATGAATTCTGTCTCAAGTGTATTTTGTTCCATAAGAACTAATCAGTTTTCTCTCTCTCCTTCATGAAGGAGCTGTTATTTATCACAGGATTGTGGAATTTCCCAGCACCCCAACACAACCTTCAATAAAACCCCAATTGTTCCAGTTTCTCCATATATACTTTACAGATCTTAAGGTAATGTCCACTGTTACTTACCATCATAAACAAAGTAAGTTCCATCTTTGAAGACCACAACAGCAGGCAATTCAGGCAATGTCACATACTGAAAGAGGTGGGTTTCAATTAATTCATGGAAGATTAAAAGATTTTTACACAAACAAAGAAAATATCTTAAAAGGTGGAAATGTCATCCATGGGGAAAAAATCTCAAAAGTACAGTTAAAAGTTTCCTGTCTACATTTACCAAAATAAATTTATCAGCTTCCACATATTAAAAAGTGACACAACATAAATGTATTTTTTTAGAGGTAGGTCTGACAAAGTGTAAATGAAGCAGAATTTTTATTAGTATCTGCAGTAGCATGAAAAGTATTTTATTGATTGGACATGAACTTTAGAGAGGAGGTGATAACTTGAGATGATAATCAATCATGCTCCCTGCTCCCAGTTCATGCCCTTGTCAGCATACCTGTCACACTCTTACTTTTACTAAATGGACAGTCAACATTGTAGAGGAAAATGGTAACGTTGAGAACATGCCCCACTACTTCTGGGCTGCTGCCTGTGGTTGAGGCTGATGGAATAAAGACACGGCTTCAGCAGCCAGGGCCTCAAACAGCCCTAGCTGAGGCACAGAACAATGAATGCCTCCAGCACCATCCTAAACATGGCATTTAGGATGGTCAGCAACACACTCAAAAAGAAATACAAGGTGTTGAAACCTGTCACTTGGAGCTTAAAAGAATCTTATTCAGCTTTTCCATAACCTGCCACAGAGGAAATAGCGTATCTACTCGGATTCCAAGTTAAAATCCTAACAGAATCTGTGGTTAAGAAAGGACTGCATCAAGAGTCTAGTTTTGAAGATGATGTTGGCTGAATTGTCTAATTTACTGATATGTCTGGGAAGCATAAGAACAGTGCTTTTCCAAATTACATGCCTTCTGTAACCATTCTTGGAAACCAATGTAAAAGCAGTAGGTTTGCAATGTAACAGCTCATATGAATGAGCAAGAAGGTGGCCATTCTAGAAGATGCTTTAATGTACTATTAAAACATAGTTTAACTTCTTTAAAGGGCAAGTCAGTCTATCTACAGCTTATGGCTTGCAAGAAGCTTGGAACAAGATTACCCAAGGTGACAAAGCCCAAGAGTGAATAGTGCCATGCAAAGCCTCATTACAACCAGTGATTTCATAACATCTCTGCTCCTCTCCATCGAATCCTGCACACCACCACTACTTCAGTTTCAGTGACACTGGAGGGAAATGACAGCCAGGGGAAAACCAGCTCACTGCTTACATCACTGTGATCATAGAATCTCAGAGCTCCAGACTCGTACACTTTCCACTGCACAAGTGAACAGTAATTTTTGTGCCCAGCTGGGGCCAAAGTGCACATAGCAACATTCAAACTGAGGCAGCCACAGATTTACAGAAGCCTTGTATACCACATTATTTATAATGAGGCCAGTTCTAGTTATGATGTTAGAAAATGCAGGTGCCTAAAAATAAATGTTATGTTAGCTGTCACCCTACTAATCCCAAACTCATTTCCAAGTCATGTGTCAGCAGGCATGAAGTGTACTTGGGTTCCTCTTGGAGATGACAATAAGTGAAAAAGTCTCTTGACTTTGCTTCCACAGATAAGCAACAGGGGTTAGACTAACAACAGCAGTAGCAATTTTTTCCACCCTTGTTACTAACTGTAAATAATTTCCTTGTTACAGAATCCTCCAAAGAGCCACATGAGGATTCTGCAGCCAGTAGACTGGATTGGTTGATCCCTGGGCAGACTAATGTTTTGATCAGCTGTATTCCACTAGGTGAAAATAGCATACCTGAAAAGGTACTTCTCTGATTATTAGGGTACCATTTATACTCTGTGCCACTGTCCCCCAAACTAGGTGTAAAAGTGGTTAGTGAATGGGCTGTTAGAAGCAGTAAGAGCTTTGCATTAGTTTAAAATCAAAGTATCTACTTTCTTGAGCAGTTTGTGTGGTCCATGTTGAGTTCTGGATACTTTATTTTTAGTAATATGATAGAACAACTAATTTGGCCGATATAAAGCAATGAGAGACTGAAACCTGGTTTTCATTCTTCCCCCATATAGACTCAAAAATTAAATGTTTCAGTGTAGTTAGTTTGAAATTTATCAAAACCAAGTGCATTTTAAGGAGCCATCTCTGTGCCACCAAACCAGCAAAATTACCTAGAACTACACTGTTCTGTGGAAATATTAGGCCCTGAAACAGCTTACCTCAGGCAGCACATCTTCTGAGGCAGAAAAAAAGTACGTATAAACTATTAGTTCTGAAGCAACTTCAATGTATTTTTCCTGCAAAAATACAAACGATGGGTTTTAATCTCTGAACTTCTAGAATGCTTCAAAAGGATGTTTTGTGACATACCTTATCTTCAAAGAGCAGCTAGAAAATATGGTTGTGACACAAGATTGTACAAACACTTGAACACCATAAAAAAAGATTATAATTTATCACAAACACACACTTGAGTCTTTTAGAAAATATTTTAAACTACACCTGTGAATAGCAAAGTAAGTAACTTCATTTAATCAAGCTTCAAACCTTTAAAGGGGATTCACCACCAACATACACAAAAAGTACACGATGTCTCTTCTGCACATGCTCGAACATGTGCTGGCTAGGAAGTGGCCTGATGAGAGGTCTGGGAAGGGAGAAAAAAAAAAAAAAAAGAGAAAGAAAAATCTCACTTTCTGCAAGCTGCAAAACCCAAACACTAATCCCCAAGAAAATGCCATGCAGCTTTTTTGTGTCAGTGCCTCACCACCCTTACAGCAAAAAATGTCTCCCTTATGTCCAATCTGAACACAGTTTTTTCCAGTTTAAAACCCTTGTCCCTTGCATTCTCACTACAGGCTCTGATAAAAAGTCTCTCTCCGTATTTCTTCCAACCCTTCCTTTTATAGTGCAAGGCCACAATAAGAGAGAAAATTCTGAATGTAAGCACAACAGAAAAAAAATGGTCTTAGAAATAAATAAGTTTGAAAACTCTGGTTAATTATTAGAGACCACCAATAGTCCTAAACTACAAAATACTGAACAACAATTAATATTATGTACCTAGATGAGCGTTTCTTAATTATATTTAAGAAAGAAGGAAAGAAAGAATTAAGATTTATCCAATATAAGATAACTTTTGGGTATTAGATTCTGCCTTCTGCTGAAGACTATCAGCTAACATTTAGGTCCCTATTCTGGCTCATACAAGAACTTGTGTCTTCCATGAGTTTCATTTGTTCATAGTTTCCATTACTGTGGAAAGCCCTTAGTCCTTGCTCTGTAAAGAAGGGATTGTGACTAAGCCAGTCTCTACCTCTTTTCTCTGTGCAACTCACCACCAGAAACACACACAACCACATGTAAAGTACACAAAGTTTTTAGCTTCATGTCAATGTCTTGTTCTTTTTTAAACAGATTTTATTTTTGGCCCACCTCAAAATCCAACAGAGGTTTTAAGTCACCAGAAGGGCATACGTACCCTGCCACTCTGTTAGCAAATTCAATGATGTCATCTTTGGTTCTAGGACCTCTATAGTTGTATGCCAGGTCACCTTTTAAGCTAGATAAATGTGAAAGAGGAAAAAAAAGAGCAGAATGAAATCAACTAAACTGTATCTGCACATGTATTATGCATTAAATTAAGCTTCCATCAAGTCCTGGTCATTTTACTGTACCCTGCTGACAGGGGCTGTAGCACACTTGTATTCTAAGAATATTCAAGGAAGCTTTATTCATTCTAATAAGCTTTTTTTTGTGGTTGGTTTGCTTGGGATTTTTAAAGCAGAGAGGGACATAATTTTTTTTTTTTTTTACTGCCATGAAATCAGTGGTAGGATAGTAACTGTTAAAAATTCAATGGCAAGCATCAACTTACAGCTTAATTGTTGGATAGCCTCGCACCCCAAATTCAGATGCAATACCTGAAAGAAATGTGTTAAAGACAAAGTGAACCAAGACTTTCTTGCTCTCCTACCTTAATCTTTAAACAGTTTACTATTCAAGCCATGTAAATGAAAAATCTACCACTTAGTTCAGCATAAATTGTTTTACTTGCTTTCAAGAAACTGCTGTTTATGAAACTACATCATTAAATTCTGGACCTTTTTCAGAGGTACTGCAGGGTCCCAGCAGAGGCTCTCAATTCACATGCTACAAATTAAATGGCATGAGAATCCTCTGAATAGACATTTGTGGTCAGTTTTCACCAAAAGGTCGTATGCATTTAATGTGCACAAACAATTGGCTGAAAATATGAGAGGCGAGAACTAAGCATCACGGATGTAGGCTTGTAAATAACAATGCTTGAAAGAAATATAAGACAATTAACTATTTATTGGCTACATTACTGGGTAACAAAACTACAGCATATTGCAGTAATTAGAAAAAAAAGTCAGTTTTAAAGCATATTCTGCAGAGGTAAATGTCTAGTCGTCAACTCCAGCAGAAACAGACACACTCTAAGCAATGAGTTACTTATGTGCTGCTTGCTAAAGCGGTAAAAAGAGAACTGCTGAACTTTTTCTCCCACTTCACGTTTGTTTAAACCCTTGTAACTTGCTCCCATCAGTCAGAGCAGAATTTGCAACTGCTCTTCCAGTTGTGAAGACAGCAACTGCCACCATAAACTGTCAATTAACTGCCACCATAAACTTCCCAGTCGATTCGCTGTTCTCCAAAAGTTAACCTCAGTAGTCCTCAACAAAGGCCAAAGTCTAAAATTCTGACTCTACTGAAAAACAGCCCCTGCACTCAAAATGCAACAAGATTCAATGCTTTTAACATAAACACTCTGATGTTACCAACAACACGCCAGAGCACGGGCCCCACGGGTGCTGGTGGACACCTGAGCCAGCAGTGTGCCCAGGTGGCCAAGACAACCATAAGCATCCTGGACTCTATCAAAACTGGTGTGGCCAGCAGGAGCAGGGAAGGGACTGTGCCCCTGGACTCGGCACTGGGGAGGCCACAGCTTGAGGACTGGGGTCACCAAAGCTGGTGAGGGGTCTGGGGAACATGGCTTGTGAGGAGCAGCTGAGGGAATTGGAGAAGTGGAGGCTGAGGGGAGACCTTGCTCTCTACAACTCCCTGAAAGGAGGTTATAGAGAGGTGGGTGTTGGTCTCTTCTCCCAGGTAATGAGCAACAGGACAGGAAGAAATGGGCTTAAGTTGTGACAGGGTGAGTATTAGGAAGAATTTTTTTACTGACAGAGTGGTGAGGCACTGGACTGGGCTGGCCCAGGGAGGTGTTGGAGTCACCATCCCCGGTAGTGTTCAAAAAAGATGTAGACCTGGCACTTCAGGACAAGGTGAGTGGTTATGATAGTGTTAGGTTGATGGCTGGAATTAATGATCTTAAGGGTCTTTTCCAACCTTAATGATTCTTCGTGGGAGGACTTGGTGCAGGGCTCTGAGTAACAGTTTAGAAATTGTGACCCTAAGGTTGTTTGGCTGGATTGACACCCTAATTGCACAGGATAAAACCTGCAGCTCACCTACCAGCATCGTAGACAGAGGAGACTGATTTAAGAAACATGCATAACAGATCAGTTTGATTCTGACCCTCTTCTCTCCCAGCTGTACTACAGAGAGCTGGAATGCAGTCAGATGTGTATTAGAACACCCAATCACAAAAGCTGCTGACAGGCACCTCATTTCTCCTTGTACAGCTCCACAGCCAGGGGGACTACAAAACAGGCATTTTTTTAATATATCCTCTCAACATCATGGAAGGGACTTATTTACATCCTCCCCTCCACCTGCTGATCTGAAGAAAGCAGAATGGGCAAACAGAAGGAACTGCACTCACCCCAGGTCTGGCACATTTCCACTCTGTCCCCATTGAGTGTCCTTCTGAGGCCAGCCCCACGGAAACTCCCCAGGTACCACACTGGGGGACTGCCCTCTGGGTACAACTGCTGTACCCACCCTTCCCAGGGCACAGGGGAACCCTTGCACCTTTTAGTCAGTTTTAAATAAGCAAAACAGAACTTGGCACAAAACCAAACAGCCAATTCTGTTTTAGGTAGCAAATACAAAAATCTAGTACCAAGATGACAGATGTAACTATTTCAGGGTAAGAGTTTATATAATTTATATGGTTTACAATTTTATACACGTGACTGGAACATTAGAGATCCACCAAATCTATTGCCAATTTGGAAGTTATTTGGTTTCATGATCTTGGAGCTTTTAATTCTCCAGACTTATTTTTCTTTAGCAAATCAATAGCTTTAAGATTAAATATGAGGTCAAATTTATGTAGTTTTACAGAAAAAGCTACATACAATAAATTGGTGTTCAAGACAAGATCATTTAGATCTCCAGAGACCAAACTCTGCTGTATGTAAGCACAGAAGAACAGGAATAACACTGAAAAAGATATTCTGCATAATATTTTACGTAAATATAACAATCCTGAATAATCAGGTTTAACAGGTATTAACTAAAAATCTTAGATGTAGTGATGGAGTTTTGTTACATAACTGATCTCACTTGGGCCCCAGTGGTCCCTATGCCTTCCCCTCTTAAATGTCCTCCACAGATTTGAGTGAAGTGACAATAAACAAGCACACTAAAACTAAGAAAATGCTGCTAAGCTGCAACAATCCTCTCTTGTCTACCCCAACCACTTTTCTGAATACCTAAAGCTTTGGTTTTTTTTCTGAAAAGGTCAATACATATGAAAAACATCATGAAAAAAAGGAAGCGTTAAAATCACTGAAATTGGTTCTTCAAGACTTTTACAGAGAAACAGGGGGAGAAATTGGCTCAACATTGATGTAACCACTTCAGTGATTTCAGCAGGCTTTTGGTGTAACATATTAAAGACTGATTACCTGAAAAGAACAACAGCAGGAACACAAGCACCTGTCCAACAGTAATAAAAGGAACCTAAAATGCTGTCAAGAGATGCACCACAAAGGGGCTTGTATAATGGTACTCTCAGAAGCATTTCAAAAGCTGATCTTTGACAAGCTTTTACCTTCCATTTGTCAGGAAAAATCCCCTACACAAGCAGAAACAAGCATGATAGAAAAACACATACTACAGCATGCTGTCACTTCTAGGAAAGAAAGATGAGGAAATTGTTCTCCAGTGACTTTGCATATATTTGCTACAACACAGAACACAAGGATGACTTCAAGAAAAAAATTAAGAACAGTTTCAAAACAGAGGCTGTCATGAAACTACTGCAGACCAAACCATACTTACTAGAAAAAGAAGTTGCATCCATCTTCCCAACTTTTACTGGAGAGCCCATGTTCTTCATTTCCATACCCACTTCATTCCACACAGGCTCCAGTTTCTTGCAGTGGCCACACCAAGGTGCGTAAAACTGAGAAGGAAATACATTTGATTTACAAAAAAGTAGAAGAAAGAGAAGTTAATGAAGGGAAATAATTAAAGAGATGTTGATTCTATGATTAACCCTCAAATACATTAGCAACATTTATTTTCCAGTTGTGTTGCTCTTTTTAAGTCTTAACTGCGAGTTAGTTATGCAGCTGGAGTGACAAACAAAACTTTTATGATTTGGTGCGACTTTTAATAGGAAAGCATAAGATTGAAAAGAATACATACAATTGTACTATTATACAATTTCTTGTTTAAAAGTAGACCGTGGTAACATTTAAAAAAAAAATCTCTTCTGCAATATTTTCCCCTCTTTTTAAGTTACATGATCATGTAAATGATCAGGAATGTGAGTACATTTGCACGACAGGGGAACTCTGTTCTTTCAAAGTAAGGGCTATAGACCCATGTGTGTACACTGCCCCAAGCTGGCCTCTGGATTTCAGTTCTTCACCAACTACTTTTACACAAGGACACTATAAAATCAATCCCATTTTCTCAGGGCTAAGCAGACCCCTAAGAGAGGCTTCGTTTCATGTGTCTGCCTATGTCTTGCTGCAACATCTCAGTGAAATTGATAGGGAAGATATCAATCTTTTGGTATAACAAGATCAGGTCACAAGCGGACAAAACTGGATTTTGTTTTCCTATACATTACTGATCGATTCTGAATCAGGATACACAGTTTTCCCCCACTCAAAAATCACAAATCTGAATTATACAATTTGGGAATTACCCTTCATATTGGGGTGAGCTAAACAGAATTTTACCTCATTCCCAAAGAAGCTTAATATTTTTTAAGAATTCCTTGTTCTAAAATAAGGAGCACTGAATCTTTCCAAATGTTAGATAAGCAAAAGAAGCATCTAATTTACTAGATGTTGTAGCACTAAATGACTGGAGCACACATTAGCCAGTACAAGTAGAGGATGGAACTGTTAAGATTCTAAACAGAGGCTATCACCTCATGACTGCCCATCTGCTCTCCTTTTTTAAGGACTAAATAAACCAGGATAAAGCCTGTCTGCATCCAGCACTCAGTGTAATTCCTGCTTCACCCTGAACAATACAGACTTATCCATCCTGTCAGAACAATTACTGACACATAATTTTTCCAAACCATGTACAACTTTCCAAACAACTAAGCAGCCTCACTACACTGTGCATCATTCTACACTTTGTGTTTTGATTTCCACTAGCAGCTCTTGCCATTTTCCCTCATATACTCACATCTACGAGCCAAATATCATCTTTGCGGTTCTCTTTAAACCTAGGAGGGGAAAAGAATGAAATTAATGTATGAGATAGCTGAAATAAATAACCACAGCACATGTATGAAACAGGTTAAGTCTTATAGTTAAGTTGATATATAATTATAGATAGAATAATTCTGCTTTCTTTCTTTCCTTGGGGGTGTGAGGAAGGAGTTATTATTCATTATTAAGATTGCCCCTGCACATAATACTACATACCTAGTGGTACCAGTTAGGTTTCTATAACTGCTTGTCAAGACCAAAAAAACTCCACCAAAACAGAAACAGTAACAAAAACAGCAAACACACAAAAGATACTTGATTAGGATATGTAACCTAAGGGAAGAAGTATTTTGCAGCTGCTCTAGTTATATTTAATACTGTTGTTGACTGTTTAGAAAATGTTGCATTTTTATAGATCAACTAATACAGCCTCTTAGATAGAGCACTGGTTGACAATGTTAATTTTGGCTTTACCAAATGCAGACTAACCAAATTATCTTTACTGTTAACATGCAAAACCATTCTAATTTAACTTTCTCCCACATTCTACTGTAGGTGTGTTGTTTTTATTACAGGAGCACAGAAGAAATCAACTTAACAAAATTAAAATGTTCAAATTACTGATAAAAAAACAGGTTACACAGAATACTCTTCATGCCAGACAAATGACATCTGAATGAATTGATGAGCTCTATTAACTGTAAATCTGTCACTAAATGCTAAAACCTCTAAAACAAAAATAGAACATGATAAATCCAAGTTCCTTGATGCCCCTTGAAATGTTGCTTATGCACTTCACTGAACTACTGCCACAAGATCACAGAAATTATCACATTATTGGCTATTTCTGTGTTGAGAATGAAATGCACCAGAATTTTCACATAAGGTTTATTTTTGTAAAAAATAAGCTTTGCAGAAGTGACTAGAACTGTGACTATTGTCACGCTATAATATACAATATACAGCACTATTAGTGTAACACTGATTGTGAAAGGAGATGTACATGTCTATACCATCAGACAATAAGTGTGTGATCTACACCCTAAGTTAAGACCCAATTAATACAAGTTACAGCCCAACTCATCAATTCCCAATATGCAGCATGGCTATAAATGGCTCATAGGCAGTAAGTAGAGAGTATCTATTATATTTTATTTAAAGTTGGGTACATTTGTACGGGTCCATAATAGTCTTGAGGAAATACTAGTGCTGATACCAGCCTACTGTTTGAAAGAAAGTATTCACACATCAGCAATGTAACCCAATTACAGCACTGAGAGTTTGAAACTCAGAATTGCAGCATTTCAGTGGCAAATTCAAGCCTTTTTTGTTTTATTGATGGCAGGCCAAGGCTGTAACACTTGCACAGCAGAAATGGTATTTGCAGTGACTTACACAAAACCTCTACAGGAAAGCAGCACTTTTCAGTCACAAAATTGCTTAGTTGACCATCTCACCAAAAATACACTTCACCACCCGATGTGCTACAGAGCTAATGAAAGAACTAGTTAAGAGTCTAGCATCTCTTGAGAGCTCTAATGAACCTCCTGCTAACTTCCAATTATAGTGTCAAATAATTGGTTATGATGCAAGAGGCAGAAAGCAGCCACTAGATCATCAGATCCTGGGCTGTGCTTCTATTTAGAGCACCATCTTTGGTTTGTACAAGAGCATACACTGAAATGTCCTCCTCCCCCTGCCACAGTACGAGCGCTACGGGAGGCTGCAAAGAGCACTAAACCACTGAGAAAGGTTGACAGAAACCTTACAAAACCAGTAGGTAGCATGGAAAAGAAGGAAACAAAGGAAATGCCTGGAGGCAGAACATTCCAATGGGGTTTAATAACTTGGGTGTAAGATATAAAAAGATATTGGAGTGATTACAATAATAAATTTCAAGTTGTATCACCCATTTGCAATCACCTATTTAAAAATAACATTAAAATCTTAAGTATGACAAAAAAAAATCTATCTAAATTGATGCTAGTAATGTCATATTAGACAATACTACAGAAGTTCAACTCCCACCTAACCCATGTACCCCACTTAATCATTACCCATCAAATGAAAGCAGCATGAAGCAAAACTGAAGCCCAAGGCCACAATTCCAGAGTCTTACACCAACACAGATGCTGTTTCTATTCCTCCCCATCTCCCTTCTCACTCTCCTTGCACCATTTCTGATGCTGGGTTGAGCCCCCAGTGCTCACAAACAGAAAAATATCTCCTTTTTTTTCAGTCAGGCTACTTATCTGCTTCATTACCACACTGGAACAAGTCAGCAAATGCCACAAGATGAGCACTGGTCTGCAGCAGGCAGCAGTGTGGAAAGCATAAGCTGACAGGAACCATAGATCTTATTTTGCATCCCTTCCACATCCCAGTTGGGTGGTGCTGGGTGACCTGCAGCCCTGCTATTCCCTCCTGCTTGTTCTCCTGTATCCCCTCAGCTCAGGACCTTGTCCTAGCAGGCACCGTTTGCAGCTACCAAAACTCAAACCCCAAAGTTTTCAGCACCAGCAAAAACTCCATAATGTTTAGGCTTCTATAAAATTGAATATTTGAAACTTTCATCAGTCATTGCTCCCAATCTTTTTTAAAATTGTTTTCCTGACCTCTCTCACCATTTTTTTTTTCTCACCAAAGAAAAAAAAAATCACAACACCTGTGCTGAACAACTCATCATTCAATTCCTAATCCAAATTGCAAATACCTGCTTCTATATAGTTTTGTAGCTGCAAAACTGAAGCATTCTAAAACAGAATTTTCTTTGTTTGCTACTTTATAAAAGTTATGTGACTGCAGAATTATGCTTCTTCACTCCAAAGCAGCAATTACATTTAAATTTATATGATACAGGAACATGATGCAGGAGCACAGACACAGCCTATTTTACACACATAGCCTCTTTATCTTCAGTCCTTGAAAATATGAGCCATGTTTCAAAAACAAGCATTGAGAATCAACTCCTAGCATTTTCCCCACTTCAGTTTCTTTTTCACAAAATCTTAAACAGTCAGAGATGATGATGTACCTCTCTTCACTACCCCTTCCATATGTTCCCATTTCCTCCCCCACAATTCCACCTCATTTGACCCTACAATTATCTGCTCTAGCTGAGTAAGCAATACAGTGAAAAAGTGAGTGTTTTTCTGACTGTTTAGCTCTATGATGCAATTTATCTTGAACACTCATGAAAACATCACCTCTGACTGGCATAAATTTATCATAAAGCAGCCATTTAATGCCACCTTTTCTTCCTCGACCAGCTAGTATTTTATAAATCCTCTATCTCAGTTCTAACAATTGTGCTGCTCTGTTGCACCTTAGATCAACCCGCTTATCTAAAGAAAAAAAATCAATTAAGTTTTGGAAAGTTAGTTTTTACTGGGAAAAGCAAGTATGTAGCCATTAAACTCCTAAAGCAAGGCACATGAACGATAACACTACATAACCCAAGTTAAGGGCAGGAGTATCCATTTCAACACCTCCACCATCTCAGGGCTAAATCTGTTGTAAAAGCACATTTTTAGACTAGAATATAGCTGGCACTTCAAACAGCCATGAACTAGTCCGGCAGGCCTTCTTCTCTCTTCTGTTTCTGGCCATGCATGAACCTACTTACACACATTCTCCCAACTCCTTGCAGCAGCTATGCAGAAAATTCTAATGAAGAATTTGGTTAAACATAATCAGCTTTTATCTGGGGCAGGTATCAATCCACCAGTATACTTACTTTACCAAAAAGAAAGAGCAAGGACACCTGAGAACGTGTTTGGTAATGGCTGTTATTAACAGCTCTAAAATGAAATGCAGAATTAAAGTGTTCCTCAGCTTCATTAATGGCACCTACTTAATACAGACTACAATCTTTCTGCAATTCCTGCTAAGGAAAAGAGAAAGTTTTGCAGTGTAGCCTTCTTGACCACCACGCTCTGCACAAAGCTGTCAGGCTGGGGCCATCCCCCCGTGCAAACAACCAGCATTCGGTAACCCAGCAAGCCACCCCAGTACTTACGACTCATCCAGATCCTCCACAAAACCCGCACCTGATGCCACCACATGTGCAACCACTGCCAAGCAAGGAAAAGCGACCCGTGAGTGTTTTCCAACGCAATGTGGGGTGCTCGCCCCCGCCCGCCGCC